GGCGTTCCGAACGGCAAAACGGGGATTGCGCGCAAACTCGTAACAGTGTAATTGTCCGTTTTGCATACTCGATTGCATTAGCCTGTGGCCGCGCCCGTGTCGCCTGTCTGTCCATTACAGCAGCGTTTTTGCTCGCCATTTTGCTTATATTATCGATCGGCTCGCCGCTTATAAATATTCGTGGCGCAATTAATAATTAATATTCCGCGAATCAGCCGAGATAAATCGCCGCGTGTTTGTATTCATTAGAATACGGCCGGGGCACGAGAAAATTATTATTAAACGCGCCGTGCCACGGCGGACAAATCGATTCCGAGCCATAAGCAAGGCCGGCTCCCGTTTTTCCCTTCTTTCTCTTCTTCTTCTTCTTCTTCTTCTTCTTCTTTTTTCCTTCCTTCTTTTCGCTTTTTGGGATTCCTGAAAAATGTTCGAGCGGAAATGGAAAATGGAAGGTTCGAATCGAATGGAAAACTGGCGGCTCGGAGGGGAACTGTTTCGCCTGGCGAAACCTGTTCCACGGTTCCTCGAATCTCTTTTGTATCCGAACGGTACACGAACGGAGCGGCGAGCAAAGGCAAAAAGGAGCGAGAGGAGGCGAGGATTTTCGAGGTGGACGGGGATGAGCGCAAAGGGTGAATTAATGCCGATGAGAGCGGGCGCAGTTAATAAACGCGGACTTATTAAACGATTACATTAACGCATCCGTCGCCCGAGATTAATGCACTCGGGCCTGGAACGTCTCACTCGTTGGCGGCGTGTATAACGTGTATACGTGTACACGAAGAAAGGCAGAAGCCGACAAGAAATATGATCTACACAGTGTGGTGGGCACGGTATCGCGGTAGCCTTCGAGATAATTACGGCCACGACCGGCGATAACTTTCGCGTCGTCGAAGGGCCCAAGTGGGCTGCCGATAAAAGCGTCGTGTTAACGCGCTTCCTCCTCCTCCTCCTCCTCCTCTCTTTCTCTTCTTTTCGTTTTTTTCGAGCTGTAGGAATCTAGCGATCAAAAAAAGTATCGAAGAGAAAATTATGGAGTGGTTGCTTTATTCTACTTGCGCGAGGATGAATCTTTTTTTTTTCACGATTTTGCAACAACATTTTGTGACAAACGAGTCAGAAGTTACGCGCGCTCGGACAGTGATATCTTGGCACGACGATATCCAGAAATAATAACCACGCGTATATACACGCGAGAAAGGCAGGGTAGCGGCAATAAGTAACGAAAGGACAATCTCGTCTATCCTGCAGCTAAGTGTCGGTCACGCGTCGAGGTGGCATTTCAACTTTCATGACTCTATCTTCTACTTCCCGTCTTTTACGACAATCTTGTAATTACGTCTTGGAGCACGTTCCTCGTAATGACACGTCGTTGCGTAATTTGCGAAAACTATCGTACGGCATTAGCTTCCTTAAACGTTTTAACTCATCATCGTGAAACAAGAATAACACGAATCCTCGCTTCTTCTTTATCGAGGCCCGACAGCTCGATACAATTTACGCGTCCCCTAATAAATATATATATATATATATATATATATATTTTTACTTCCTGTTGCAAAAGGAAAAAGAAAAAAAAAAGAACCAAGGAATTGCAATCCTTGGCAAAATAGATTTAGATTTCGAAGGATGGAAAGAAGCAGAGGGAGGGAAAATATAATTTGGATCCGCGGAAAGGGAGATTAATAAGTGAGGAAGAAAATACGGGATAAAATAAGGGAGTTGATCGCGAGCAGGTGGACGAGAAGAGGCGAGAACACGAAACTCTGTCGGCCCACCCGCGCCAAACCACTCGTCCCGATGTCACGTGTTTATAAATAGTGCATCAACGTAATGCCCGCCGGCTGTAACCGTGGCGAAAGATTTACGCGCATCGCGGCCGCCATACGCGGCTCGCCAACGCGGAAAGGAATTCCGCGATGTATAATAACGAGGGTGTCCCATCACGTGCCTGGTTACCCGTTACCGATCACCGTCCGAGATTTCGCCCTTCCCTTCCTCTCTCTTCCATCATTCTCTTTCCTAAAATTCACATTTCCTTCCTCCAAACGTTTCATTTCCTGAACCGATACTTTGTAACCATTCAGATTTCTTTTCTCCAAACCAATCGCGCTCTTTCATTCGA